TCTATCAAAAACAACAAAACCCAACTACCTGTGGGGGCATATTCCTCACTAAAAAACCACTCTGCCTCCAGTCTCTCAGGTCTAATGCTGAGAGAGAACAAATTACAACACAAACCACTTTTCAGAGCTGGCCACCTACACGTCAGCTTTGCCCCCCTTCCCCTCCCACTCTCCCTCCCTCCCCTGCTCCCTCTCCCTCTCCCTCTTCTAACTTTCACTTTCAGCCTCCAAAGCTTGTCTGAAGCATCCAAAGCTTTTCTGAAGCACTTCAGAAGTTCTGAACTGCTTCAGACAGCCTGAATGAGCCAGCGCTTTGCTCCGGGCATGCTGCTTCAGACACCAAAGTGTAAACACTTTGTTTTGACCTTATCTGTTGCCCTCATTTTTCAGTTATCTTAGGAATCTCTTGGTTATCCCTTCATGATCTGGACATCCTACAGGGCCTAAGGAAGCTCCATTTTGGCTACCCTACTGCTCAATCTCTTGTTTGCAGAAGGTGCCTCGAATAGGGCCCCAGGCCAGAAGCAGGACCTATAATAGCAATACCTTTGCACGGACCACAGACAACTGTGATCACAGACAACAACTCCCAGTTATTATCAATGGGAATACCTGCCCAGTGCACCATTACCTATCACTTTCTGCTAAGTATCATGACTTGACAGATGTTTTTGGTGAGAAAGGAGTGGATCAGCTTCCCCCACATCACTCTTATGATTACTCCATTGATCTTGTGCCAGCAGCATAGATTCCCTTGCGGAGCATTTATTCTCTTTCTGAATCAGAGCTCAGGGCTCTCAAAGAGTACATCATGGAGGACCTCTGTAAGGGGTTCATCAAATCATCTACAACCCCAGCTGGAGCCCCCAATATTCTTTGTGCATAAAAATGATGGATCTCTCTGTCCCTGTGTCAACTTCAAGGCTTTAAATAGGGTAACAGTTTGTTATCATTATCCGTTGCCCCTAATGAATGAATTATTCAAAAGGCTTCATCAGACGAAAATTTTCTTGAAGTTAGATTTACAAGGAGCCTACAGCATTTTCCATGTAAGGGAAGGGTAGAAGACCACATTTTTGGTCCTGCTAATGACACTTTGAAGACATATTTCTGGCCTCCCTCTGACCCTAGAGCCATGCCCATGCCTCACAGATGTTACCAGTTATTACTTCAGGCCTCCTCAGGCCCCCACATCCTTCCTGGCTTTGGCCTCTTTTATCTGGCTTGGCCCCTCTCAGGATAGGTCCACTGCACTAGACCTGGCTTCTGGGCTTCAGCCCTTGCCACACCCCACCTCTAGCTGTGATTTCCTTGCTCTGGTCTCACCCTTCTCAGGCTGTGGGCCCCCGGCCCTAGTCTTGTTCTTCTTAGTTGTTGACCCTTGGCCCTGCAGGCTTTACCCTACTCTGCTTTCTGCCTACCTGCTCTTGAGCCCCAGCCCCTAGCAGGGCTACAAAACCAGGCATGCCCCTCAGGTCTAGTTTGAGAAATGGCTTTGTAAAAATTGCAAGTTAATTATCTCAGCTTCAGATGTAACCTGCTCAATGAAAATATATATTTTTTCTTATTGAACTTCATCCTAGTGTCTGAAAACCAAGCTCAGTTCATTCTTGTATCACCAGTAAAGATTTTGAAATAGGCAGAAAGAGGCTGATCCTGTTCCTCTTGAAGTCACTGGGAATTATTTAACTCAAAGGAAGCCGAAACAGGGTCTTAAATAAAGTTCTGTTGCTGATGCTGGCTAAACTGGAAAGCAACTCCTTTTTTCTTAGTCATGTTTTCTGAGATAACAGAATGCGTAGAACTTCTTTTAGTCATTAAAATAGAAAGACAGAACTCAAAGGAGTGGATATACTCAGTAAGAAGACAGAATTTTTATATACTTACTTTCCTACAGTAGAACTGTACTTCAATTTAGTGTCAAAGTGTCGGGCTCTAGCAGCTGTTTCAGAGCAGAAGCAAGAATATACACTGTATTTCAAAAGAAAGTAACTTTATTTCAAGTCTCCCAATGCTTGTGAGTTTTGAAGATCTGCTTATTTTAAAAATCTTCCTAAGCTGCATCAAAAACTACTGTGATGGCATTTGACATGAGGTGACCTTGCCAAAGATGGTATGTTAGATATGGAAAATACACCTTTTGGACTGCAGAGGTGGTAGAAATTCAGGAAGAGAACATTTGAGGGAAGTTGCTTTAGGTTGTTATTGCACTGGATTTCCTATTACGGATAACAGAAATTATTTGTAGATAATTCTTTAAGTCCATTTTTTATTGATGTAACCTGAACAATTACATCTCTGAAACCAACAGAAATGTTTGCCTTTTGGGGGTTGTGTGGGGGAAATGTTCTTGATTGCCATAACAAGTAAGGAGTTTCATAAAGAGAGAGTTTCTTGACAGTGATTGGAATGGGAGTGAGAAACAGAACTCCTGGGGTGCCTGTAAATGTGCTGGGAGGCAGCTATACTGTGATGTAATTACAGCACATTGGAGAAGGCCTGATTATTTGAGTCTGCTGGATCATGCAAATGAGCACATGCCAGCCAGCCTCCATGTCTCATGTATTAGCATTTCCATGCTTCAAAATGGTGGTGGGGGAACTTTAGTTAAAACTCGTTTGATGAGTTTTAGTTAAAGCATACCTGACACCATTTTGAATTGCAGGGATGTTGGTACATGAGATGCTGTGGCACTTTAATTGGAGTGGCTCTTCAAGCTGCTCTAGTTAAAGCACACTCCCTTACCCTTGGAGAACATGAAAAACAGTCCCTGGGTTCTTGGCTTTACCCCTAATTCATTTGGCAAAATTTTGATCTACTTACAGTGATGTATAATCTACAATGATTCTTTTGAGTGTCAAACTTTGAGATGATATAAATAAAAATAGTATATGGACGTAGGGCAAATGATTTAACATACCTATTCCTAGTTTTTTCTGTAAACCAGAAACTACTCCACTAAAGAGAATGGAGTTGCCTCAAGCAAAAAAAAAGAAAAAGATAGCACAACCCTCTATTTTTAAGGATACCAAGCTACTAAATTGATTTAAAAATTGACATCTAAATGGTATTGTGAAGCTACGTCAACATTTGTAAAGCATTATTATTAGGGCGGGGGAAGAAAGAAGTCAGAGGGTGTCTCTACATGTGCAGTTAATGCAAGGCAATAAACTCTGGCACATATTGTGTCAGAGTTTATTGCTCCTGGGTACTGTGTTTATATGTGTGCATATGGATGCAGCACATTGACCCAGGTCAGAAAAGCCACAACTGTGAAGGCCTTGGGGCTCAGCCTGCCAGGCTGGTTCACTGTGCCGTGGAGGGGCTGGCTGGGCACAAGAGTGATTCAGGGTAGGACTAGTTGACAGGTAGCCCCCACACTGAAGCACCCTTGGGCTCCAGCCGTTCCCATCAATGTATACATGTGTTGCTGCACAGTAAATAATGCCGCCATAGAATAGGACTTGTATTTACAGTGGTGTTTATTAATTCACTTGACATAATAGGGGCACATATGTACACGTGGAGACTTTACTGTGGAGCTAATTAGGCTGCTCCAAAGTAAATGTCTCATGTAGATGCACCCAGAGACAATTTAATAGCACCTACTGTAAGGTAAGTTCTGTTTTCAGTTTTACCAGTATAGGCCTGGAGTAAGTCTCATTTATATCAGTGGGATAACCCTAGTTCTATTGCTGTGAGAGCAGTTTATCCCTGAGTCTCTAAACTACTCCTGCTAAATGTTGGAAGATACGTAACAGAAAGTATTACATAAAATAAGTAG